AAAAATCTGTGAGACATTAAAGGACATCCCGTCCCAACAAGAGCTCATAACCAAAGCATTGGCTAAAAGACCGAATTTTCTCGCTCCACTTACATTTACTTGTGCTTTTTATGGTGAAGATCTAAATACCTTCTCATAAAGACAGCAAAGGATATGGACTATTTTACATGTGACTGAACTTTCTGTCCACTACGTGTGTTGTATACTGGTATTCACGATAACTGTGATATATAATACTACGCTTATTAATAATTTAGTAAATAATCCAACACAAGTGATCTTGTTGACACTCCAACATAGTAGGTATTGCTATTGCACTCACCATTAAACAGAAAATAAGAAAACGCTGGGTCTATTGCGATAATTTGGTTATTGTAAGTTATTTTGGCCATGATCATCATGTAGTGAAAATCTAATATCATGACAGCAACTAATGTCCACTATTATAAACAAAAATAGATTGAAACTCAATGACAATGATCCCCCCAAATTCAAATTGTCAAACTAAAGTTACAACACATTCCACACTGGTCAGTGTACACTGAAAAATCCACAAAAAGTAGTACACCCCCTGAAGACAAGTAAACGGTCAGCGATAAAAAAAGAATTAGAAACTAATTACAAGCAATAGGACAAAAAAACAGTAGAACAAATAAATCAGAAATGGTACATGCAAAAAAAAAAGTTACAAAAGTGATTTAGTCAAGGAGCAGTGAGAGATTTTCTCTCTTTTGTTGTTTGATTAACATGAATGACAGACATCAGGAATATTAGACTGCTGTCACTTTAAGAGCTGCCCGGATCCAATATACTGTTACAAATGCATTTTCTTTCTCAGCTGTTACTGTGTTGATGAGAATACTTGCAAAGACGGGCATTTTGACACATGCATGTGTGCATTTAACTGTTCAAGGCCTATAAAGCAGCAAATATAACTTCCTATAAATATAACAAGGCCTATAAAGCAGTTTAATACCTCCACGCTCTATGAGCACGTACAAACCAATACGTTTTCGTGATCACGTAGCACAGCAACATCACGTGAGCGTGTCCGCGTAGAAAAAGCTGCGGTTTTAAAAATAACTGCGTTCGTGTGGACAGGGCCTAAGACAGCGCGCTTATAAAGCGAAATGAGTTCTCTTTCACTGCTGATTGTTTCACTGGCTTAAAATCACCTATTTTTAAACCGCAATGCTTAAAAACACACGCAAATAATAAATCTTCGTGACCACGTAGCACAGCAACATCTTGAACGTGTAGCCGCGATAGAGATAGTTGAAAATCTCTATCGGTTGACACATTTCTACCAGTTAACCGTGTCTACCGGTATATTGCCCACCCCTACTGTCAAGGATCGTTAAGTTTTTATAAGTAAAATGATCACTGATCAGGCCAACAGACAATTACAAACAGTACTCACCCACCCGTGGGTCCAGCCATGAGGTGCTTTGGGTTTTGTGGTCAATGAAGTATGTTTCTCTCTGAGGGGTGACGGCCTGCTCCCAACCCTCGGGCAGCTGTCCTGTTCGGCAACAGTACAACAGCTAGAGATCAGCCAGCAGCCAGACCCACACTCCAGAGTGATGACTTTTGAAGGGGGCCCCGCCATGAATTACTGCGAACACACAACAGGTGAAGGCTCAAGCTGGTCTAAACTAAGAATACAGGAAATCTGTTGTCTCTCAAGTTCCTAGAGGCTGAAAAAAAAAACTCCATCCAGGGACAGAGGAAGCACAAGCAATTGTGGGATTGTAGGCGCAGGGTCTGAGTCACGGCTTTCTATTATGAGTCTGTTGAACTTGTACTAGTTCCCGTTGAGCCAAAATGGATGACACGGCCATGTCAAAAAAACCTGAGTGGTTGAGTCACCGGAAGACCGTGCACCAGAGAAATGAGTGGTTGAGTTTACAGAAAAGCAGCTGTTTGAACGAGTGTAGCAGGTTGGCTTAAACACACATCATTATTTCAGGATGAGCAGCTTTATTCACATCCACACAAGCGCAGTGAGACACTATCACCGCTGCTTCTTCCCTCGTCATGATATGTGATACCTTCACACTGAAAAGGAAAAGTTGCATCTTATTTGCTATTATTTACAACAAGGTAAAAAGGAAAAAGTTAGAAGTTTTTGTTAAATATCTTTACTTCCTGTGAATGGAGACAACATCTCAACTTCATAGTATGTAACTCTATATGCTGAGATAGTTTCCGTCTGCTGTATGCAGTGCTGGAAGGAATATTTCTCCCTCCAAACTCTTTCGTCTTGTTCTTATCCCTCCATCCCCCCTTTGCAGGAATCTGTTTCTCGGCTGCCAACAAAGCTGAGGCACACCTTTTTTTCCATTTCATCACAAATCAGGATTTGGGAAGAAAAAAAGCCAAACAAAGAAAGCACATTTGGAAATCATTTAAGGTACTGACAAGAGTAAGAGCGGCGGCCCGTGTCACGGGACAGAGCAAGCAACACGCAAAACATGCTACAGAACGCCTCACGTACGACAGTCAACAAATCTAATACAGCTTTAAAAGCCTTCAGATCTGCTGGCTGGGAGGCTTTTTTCATTAAATCAGCATTTGACCCTCTCAGAAATACCAGTTAAACCTCATTCAGGGCCTCTAATCAACAGACAGACTGCTCTATGTGCTGTTATACAGAAATGGCAGATAGCCTTCATGTCATGTACACATACTTTAAGAAATTACTAAATGAAACACTTTGTTACTTAGTCTAAAACAATTAGTTTTTAATGGTACCTAGCCTAAAATAATACAAAACAGACTAGTTTTTTTTAAGTAAATGTGAACGATTCCTTAAAAACACATACTAGATTCAAATACTGTACATTCTGAATCTAACCTGATCTTATGAGAAAACCTAACTACAGTATTTTATGCAGTTTCGTATGAATTTGTATGATTTGATTTGTACAAAAATATATATATTTTTTTAGAAAAACACCAGTCCATCCCTAAACCTAACACTCAGTTTGGCATAAACAGATTGTACAAAAACATATAAATGTACAAATTTATACTAATTCGGTAAAACGTAGCAAATGTAGCTAATAACTGCCATGAGACTGTGGCTTTTCGAAATCGACCCCATACATTAATTTACTATTCCTTACAATACTCTACTAATATAATCCACTTGAATTCGGAACTTGCGAATTCAGAAACTGGGTGCGCTGAAAGTGCTGTGGACACCATCTTCTGTTGGGATGCGGGAATTTATTTGAAGCGACCCTCACAGTGCATGGGTGTTCTCTAGCTGCTAGCCATTGAGTGTGCATGAGAAAACATAACTATTTCTTGAGTTTGCGATTTCGAATGAATTTGTATGTTTTGATTCGTACAAAAAATAAAATTTTTAGAAAAAGAATAAGTACGAAGGTCCACCCCTAAATCTAACCCTCGGTGGGGTGTAAACAAATCATACAAAAACGTACAAATGAGATTGTATGAATTCGTACAAATTTGGCAAAAGTTAACAATTGCCATGAGACTGGTGCAAAATGACTTGCCATGGGACTTTTGGAAATCGTACCCTATAAGCTCATTTACTATTCTCAACTAATATAGTCCACATGAATTTAAAATTTTTGAATTCAGTAACTGAGTGCGCCGGAAGTGCTATGGACGCCATCTTCTGTTGAGATGTAAAAACACGTCTATTTTACAAGTTAGCGATTTTGTACGAATTTGTATGATTTGATTCATACAAAAACAAATTTTAGAAGAAAAAAAAGCTAAGCATGAAGGTTCACGCCTAAACCTAATCTTCATTGGGGCATAAAAAAATGTACGAACACGCACAAATGAGATTGTATGGATTCATACTAATTTGGCAAAATATAAAAAAGTTAATAATTGCCATGAGACTGGCATGAAATGACTTAGCATGAGAATTTTCTAAATTGTTCCCTAAATGCTCATTTACTATTCTCAACTAATATAGTCCACTTGAATTTGAAATTTGTGAATCCAGAACCTGAGTGTGCCATCTTTTTTGAGATGTGGGAATATATTCGAAGCGACCCTCACAGTGTAGAGTTATTCTCTGGTGGCTAGCCATTGAGTATGCATGAGAAAACATAGCTATTTTACAAGTTTGTGATTTTGTATGAATTTTTATAATTTGATTCATATAAAAATGTACAATTAAAAAAAAAACTAAGCATGAAGGTTCATCCCCTAACCTAAGCCTCAGTGAGGCAAAAACAGATCGTACAAAAACATACAAATGAGATTCTATGAATTTATACAAATTCAGCAAACTGTGGAAAAGTTAATAATTGCCATGTGACTGGCACAAAATGACTTAGCATGAGACTTTTACAAATCGTCCCCTATACGCTCATTTACAATTCTCAACTAATAAAGTATTGTCCACTTTAATTCAGAATTTGTGAATTTGAATATTTAATTTGATTGCACCGGAAGGCCTGTGGGTGCAGTCTTCTGTTGAGTTGGGGTTATTTATTTGAAGTGACCCTCACAGTGCATTGGTATCCACTGAGTGTACAGTATATCGGTTGAACACTGTGGTGCTGTGGTGCACTCAGTTATGCCCACTATGGTTTCGAACACCACTACAAATGGCTGTTGCCTTCAAATAGTGCACTATATAAGAGTAAATGGTGTTGTTTTAGTGGATCATGTGTGTTGCACAAATGGTGTGGGTTTAAGACTATGTGAGTTTGTTTAAATCTCACATCTAAACACAAAAGAAAAGAACTGTATTTTAGCATGCTAGAGGTCAACTATTGTACATTTATTAAACACCATGAAGTTCATCCCGATTCCACATCAGAGGTGTGATATTAGATGTCTGTGTGAATGTCACGGGCCGTCGAGCATTGGAGTTACACAGGGCAAGCACCTGTAGCAAAGCTCCTTCAGCTCCATCCCAGCTGATTGAAAACAGCTCAAGAGAGCATGTGTGTTTTCATGAGTAATGGGGAATGTGGACTGCTGGGAGGGACGGCTTTCACACTCACCGAGGTTGGGTTGAGAGAGAGCCATGGAGCGCTGCTGTATGTTGCCGTTGTTGGAGGCTTGATTGTGCAGACCCATCTGGGCCACCGAGGGTGTCATGGTCTTCCTGGGGTCGTGCCATGTGGTGATCTTCTCAACGTGACTGCACAAGAACGAAAACAACATGTTCACATTAAACACACTGCAGAAGAATATTCACACTGTTTTGAAGAAAACCTGTTTTTCTTTAGGTCAAGCAAACCAGAACTAGTTTTTCTTGTATTCTAGGAACACAATGGCGATTTTGCACATTGGACACTTTAGTCTGATCCCAACCCTTTACTCCAAAACCAATTTAAAACCCAACTGTCTCTCAGAGGACATATTTAGATTTCTTGGGCATGTCTAACCACAAGTGTTGGGTGTCAGTGTTGGGGAAGCACTACGGAAATTACATGGTGATGGAAAAAAAATGGGATGGGAAGAATCAATTATATTGCTTTTCTTTCGCAAAGGTTCCCAAAAAAAATTGCGCAAAAAAATGATGCCTACCATTACATTTTAGAAAACAAACTAGATTTTAACTATTTTATGAGTTGCCATTTTCACATGAATTTGTCTGATAAAAATGTTTTTTTTTTTTTTAGAAAATAACTAAGCATGAAGGACAACCCCTAAACTTAACCCTTAGTGGGTTTAAACAGATCATACAACAATGTATACACCAAAATAAGATTATACGAATTCACAGGAACCCACCAAAACTTAAATCAGTTAATAAGTGCCATTAGACTGAATGTATACGAAATCACCCTCTATGCCCACATTCACCATACATTTCCCTACAAACAAGTAAATGCAAAGTTCCTTCGGTGAAGACAAAGGTTTTGTGAGCAAACTTATTAGGGGAAGCTCAAAAGTTTTGCAAAAAAAAAATATCATTTTACGATGCAAGATTCTGCCTTAAATCATTCAACAAGCCATTGCTGGACTCAACGCAACCTTTCGACCTGCAGTTCTAACCACAGAGCTCTAAAAGTCCAGAATGAACAATCATTGCGGATCATATCACGTAACAGATGTACTGGTGTTTTCAGGCTGTGGTGTCCTCAACAGTTCACTCTCGTCCTCTCCACTCCTCCACCCTGAGTAAACCCTTCAAAACTGCAGCTACGTGAAATTCTGGCTTCTCTGCATTTTTCATGCAAGGCCACGAGCGTCAGACTGGCGGTTGCTAAATGACAATCTCAGTGTCCCTCAGTCAGTAAACCAGTTTAGCACTGCTTTCATTATCAGGTGGGCTTTACCGTCTAGTTCAGGGGTGCTCAAACCTGTTCCTGGAGATATGACTTCCGCTTGAGATTAGTCTCAACCTTGTCTGATATTTTCAACCTTGATGAGCAGGTTCAGGTGTGTTTCGCTAGAGCTGGAACTGAACTCTGCAGGAAAGTAGATCTGCAGGACTGCAGGATACGGTAATGATGAATAAATGCAAGCCTTGTACAACCACTGGTTAAGCTCCAAAATTTGGTTGCCAGTAGTCTTATTTATTTACAGTTGATCACCTGCAAAGCTAAAGGGGTGGTCATTTTTCGTTCCATTGACTTCCATTTATACACAATCTCATGCTAAGTTTCCCATTCAACTTTATATGAAAGTTGGGCAAACGAAGACCTACAAATTAATATGATATATATGGACGCGTGACCAATAGAAGATCGATACATCATATTGTGACACCTTTGCTCAATTAAAAGAACCCAACCTTCAAATACAGGAAATTGGAGTAGTGCTTTTAAATTTATATTTATTTTTATCATTCTTAAGGTGCAGTTTTATTAGTGAAATATGACGAAATTTTGTGGCCAAAAAAGGTCAATGTTCCATTGTCAATTGTATAGTGATGCATGAAGCTCCACTTACAACAAGTCACTTTCAAACCAGGCAGATTTCTATTGGTTAATGCGACAAATTTGCATGACCAACTTTTTTTGACAAGCTTTTTTTGACATTTTTGACAAGCTTAAAATAGTGCATAAATTGTGTATAGTCAACAATCGCACCTTAATTCTAACCAATCAATCAATATCTGGGTTTAAAGAAGATCCAGACCCATAAACGTATCAACTTGGCTGATTACATTCTTTACAGGGTTTTTTTAGTTTTAAACTAAAATATATGACACTAAACTTCACCAGCTTGTTTGTACACAAACTGGTCTGAACAGAAAATCATATGGCTGTTAGTGACCAAATGAGTCACAAAATACACAAAAGCGTCAATCAGAGAGTGACTCACTCAAACTATTCACGCTACGCCGGGAAGATTATCTACTTCCTGCTGATCTCAGGCCTGCAGAGTGGCAGAACAGGAAGCCATGTCTCCACAGCAGACCTCCGTGTTTTGAGAAACTATTATTCTGTCTCTTTAATAAACTGTTTCTAATTTTTTACTGGTTACATTTCCAAGAATTCTGTATTTCTTCATAAGATCTTAAAATATAATATTGTTAAAATAACATGTAAATGTTACTGTTTTTTGTTTATGCTGTAAATCTGACCATCGGTTTCTAAAGTTGTGGTTTAAGAGTCTCCAGCTTTGTGAAATACATCAACAGTGGGGTTAATTAACAGTCAGGATGCTATCAGTCTGAGTGGTTTAGATTTACGAAGGTCTGACAGGAGAGAGAAGGAACGGGCCCTTGGGGGTCTGGGTGGGGCAGCTGTCCTGCACCTGTGGGTTGGGCCCCTTAAATTTAAGGCCCATCTTCCCATGCATTAAAACCAATATGTGCAGTGGAACAGCTGTTTAGCAGCCTAATGTTAAAGCAAACAACAATTAGCCAGTGGCACAATTTTGCTTTCTGTCGTTTTACACGTTTCGTAGAATTATCAGGACTAGTGGCACAGTGGCACAGACATAGCATTTTTTGTCTGCTTAAAGGGTCATATTTATGACTTTTACAGCACTATATTTTTCTCTCTTATAAGGTTAGTCAAGGTTCTGTTCAACAAAAACAGCTGTACTTTTCTTTTGACCATTTTCCAGCCTCTCTCTGACCCTTTTGTTGAGTCCTTAATAAGTGACAATTGATAAAAAGCTTTTTATGCAAATCTCAGTTTACTTGTGATGTTGTCACAAGTAAAAGTGGGCAGTCCTATGTTAATGAGCTCATGGCTGTAAGTTGTTTGGAAAGGAAAGTTTTTAGACATGATTGTATGTCTACATCAGGGTTTCTCAACTCTGGCACTTTCCTGCAGAGTTTAGATCCAACTCTAATCAAACACACCTAGACAAGGTAATCAAAATTCTTCAGAATTACAAGATAGGTAAAGGCAGGCAAGTTTGATCAAGGTGGAAGCTAAAATCTGCAGAAAAGTGGAATTCAATGGCTACAGTTGAGAACCCCAGGTCTACATAGTAAATCAGACTCTTAAATTTCTAAAGATGAATTCAAAAATCTTGTTGTCCTCTTATGGTACAGTACTTTAATTTCTTCATTTAAAACCGCAATATTAAAAAGTCTTAAGATAATTAACAATCAATTACACTGACATAACCAAATCATAACCCATTACTTTGCCAATATTAACAACCCGGACGAGCCCCCGATTTTTACTTTTCCGAATCCAGTTTAGGGCTGAAAGGTGGGGTTTATAGTTTTTCAGAAATGAGTTTCTGCACTGGTTTTGGAAAACTAAAGCAGAGATTAGGAGGCATGGGGGGCTGACGCTTGGGTCTCGCACGGCCATGTTTGGGTACAAGCCACATGCTGTTTGCAGAGGAAACACACACACACACACATCTCAAAGAAACAATGGCTTGGTAGTGGATTAGAGGTGAAACACAGGCTGAAACAACACTCACAGTAGCCAGATGGACACAACACCTCTGAGCTGAGCTTCCCGCTCTTCCTGTTAGCGTGCTAGCTGTGGAAAATAGCACACACACTCCAATACAGTCCTAGCGCTTGTCATGAGGCACATTCATTTCAACAAACATGCTTACAGCACAGAAGTGAGTGAATCTCTCATTCGCCTTTTAAAATCATCACCTGGTAGCCTGTGTGTTGCCTGCAGAGCGCATTCTATAAATAACTTTAATTTCTTTCATTGTGGCTTCAACACAATATGCATTTGCTTTAGAAGTTATCAGTATTCTAGTCTACTCTAACAAAAACAAAGAAAATCAGTTTCGGCACGTATATACAGTACATTTGAAATTTACAGTCTTTCTTTTCCACTAAAATGAAGCTAAAATATTGATGACTCATGTTAAACAACAGATTTTGTCCAATCAGGTGCTAAAAAGAGAATCCCCCTCCCCCAATACCATCTTCAACTGACTAGAAAGCAGCGAATCATGGCTGTGATGTAACCAAAGCCTATTAATGACTAAAAAATAAATAAATAAAATAAATCAGGGATGGGCTGTTTGATATGTCCCAATTTCCTGTTTGAAAAAAGTATCAAACTCTACCCATATCCATCTCGTATGTTGTTCTAATTATAGAGCAGGCAGTGGCAGAGCAGATGCATCTGAAAGCACCTTTCACCCGCAAGCGTGTTCAGAGTCCAGCAAGAAAACTCCAGGAATGTGAGTCTGTCTGTAGCCATAGAGATTTCAACACACTCCAGACGGAGCTGGCACACACACACACACACACACACACACACACACACACGATGGCACACAAGCAACACACACTTACTTAGGAAAACAATCTGTGTTCGACGTCTATAAGATTTGGACCCACCTCAGAGATGAGTGTTGACTCTTGTTAGAAATACTATAGTTGTAAGTCAATAATTTAGTCTAATATTTGACTATTATTCTACATATTATTTTAGCAATAATATGCAAGTGCTATGACAAGTCTCGTTTAGCGTAGCAAGGTTTAAATATATAGAGAGGCCTTTTTTTAAGAAAACAAGCAGTTAGAGGGTCAAGTCAACAAATAGATAAAATAGAATTAGAATAGAGAGTGCTAGAGTTAGAGGGTCAAATAAAGATGGAATAGATGTGTTTTTAGCCATTTCTTGAAGATGGTTAAGGACTCAGCTGCTCGGATTGCGTTGGGCAGGTCATTCCACCAGGAGGGAACAGTATATATAAAATATATATTTATCAAAATTACAGTAAAAACAACAACATTGTGAAATA